TCAAACATAAATCAGGCCTTTTCAGCAGGTTTTTAATTTACAAACTCAGCTAAACTAGCCTATTATAACTAAGCTAAGTCAAATCATTTTTATAAATCATTGTATTTTTCCGACCGCTTCATTCTTATCTCTTCATGGAATACTCACTTTGTTCCTTAAAAAAAAGTAAAAAAAAGAAAAATCCTCATGTTTTTGTAAAATACGAAATATTTTTAAACCAATTTTTAATTGATTCAACATTAATAGCTACATAAGCCATGCCATACTAACGTATCTTCTAATGTAATTGTGAAAATTGTTTGTCATGTGATGTTAGTCATTAAATAAAATTAGGCAATATTTTTCTCTTTTCTAGTTAGGTCCTTCAATTTTCTTCCATTTTAAAGGCGCCTTATTTGAATTGATTTATTGCTTGTCCGCAGGTCCTCATTTTTTCTTCATGATGCAAGTCGAGACAGAACGTGTTCCCAAAGGCAATATTCTTAGACTTTGGGGCAACTTAAATACAATGAATCTTAACACCATGATCCATACTAACATACTACAATCACCTTATTTCAAAAACAACCTCTCTGAGCTCACTACGTATCATGAAGTTATAGATGAAATCTATTATAAGGTGCCGATCGACACTTTTTATTTTTTTAATTTAGGTTAGCCACTTGGAGCCATGGGAACGTGGTAGTCGTAAAACCGACGGTCAAAGCGGAATGTGTGGAGGCGTGAGGGGTGTTGGTGCTGGGGGTATTGTTTCGACAGCGTATTGCTTACTGTTTAAGCTTTTCGCCTTAAAGCTCACTAGAAAGCAATTAAAATCTATGCTCGAGCACCCTGATTCTCCTTATATTCGTGCTCTTGGTTTTATGTATATAAGGTATTTATCTCACTTTGTTTATTCTTAAGATACTGTCTTCCTCCTGAAGATCTATGGACGTGGTACTATCCTTACATTAATGATCCAGAGGTAGGTGAGTTTAAAACCATTTGAAAATATTCCCCGACCTTGTGTCTGTGCAATGTTTACAGTTGACATAACATCTCTTAATTTTCTTCGTAGTTAATTGATGTCAAGGCTGGTGGTGGAATGAATATGACAATAGGGTCGATGATTGAACAGTGGATTACAAGAATTGATTGGTTTGCTACACTGTTTCCTCGAATTCCTGTGCCTGTAGAGAAAAAAATCAAGGAAAAGCTTTGGGCATATAAGCAGCAAATGCTTCAAGAAACCAAAAAGATCCAATTACCTCAAAATGACACTGAGAAGGATATCCGTGTCCGTGATTCTGCGCTTGAAGCTGCAACTTCTCCTCTCCGTAACGATGATGGTGTCCGGTAAGACATCCTAAGCGTTTATTATTTTACCATTGCTTTTTTTATTTTCCTTCATATTAGTACGCATAAATATCTGCTTTATGTCAGTTATCGATGTAATTTATTTAAATTTACACGTTTAAACTTACTGGTCGTTTTCGCTTCTACGTCACTAGCTGCTTACGAATGCTCATTTTCGTTTTTTACTGGCATCTGGCCCTTTTATTACATTGTACGATTAATAAGTGTTATTCTCTTCTCTATAGCTTCTTGCA